CTCCCGCCCCGGCATCCTCGGCCACCGAGCCATCCCCGCGTGCCGTGGCAGCCCGCGGTACCTCCACCCCATCCGCCCCTCGCTGTTGGTACCAGGGGGCTCCCCGGGAGCCCGGCGCACGCTGGATAGAGCCGGGGTGCCGGAGCTGTGCTTGCCAGGTAAGCACCCCATCCTCCGCCGTGCCTCTCCCTGCGGCACCAGCTTGATGTTGGGCTGAGCCGACGTGTGCCCTTGCAGGGAGGACGGGTGCTCTGTGAGGCCGTGAGCTGCCCCGTGACCTGCTCCCACCCGCTGCCCACCCCGGCCGGGGGCTGCTGCCCCAGCTGCTCAGGTGAGCCCTTGGTGTCCCCCCCAGCCCTGCTGCCCAGGGTAGCCCACCCTAACCCTCCTGCCTTGCAGGCTGCCTGCACGATGGGGTGTCCCGGGACGAGGGTGACGTCTTCTCCCCATCTGATGGGAACTGCACCGTCTGCGTCTGCCTGGTGAGCCCATGCCATCCTGGGGCGGGATGGGGATGGGAGCATCCCCCCGCATCCCCCCGCATCCCCGCTCAGCCGTGCGCCTCCGGGGCGATGGAGCGGGATGCGCTGGGGCGGTGATGCCCCGGCATCGTTCCCCCATGGCAGGGAAGGGGTACGTCGCCCCTCGGGTGCCCCGTGACAGCCCTGCGCTCTCCTCGGCAGGCTGGTAATGTCTCCTGCATCTCCCCCGAGTGCCCCCCGGGTTCCTGCCCCAGCGCCTCGCCGGCCGACTGCTGCTCCTGCCAGCCAGGTTGGTCCCCCAGGACCCCCAGCCCGTGGGGTGTGTGGGGTTGGGGGGGGAGCCCAGGGCTTTGCTGGAGATGGGGGTTAGGAGTGGGGGTTCGGCAGAAGCCGTGCTTTCCTCCCTGACCCCAGCCCCGGCTGCGCTGCCTCTCTCCTCCCCCAGCAAAGTGCAGTTTTCGGGGTCGTACGTACGCACACGGCGCCCGGTTCAGCCTAGACGGGGATGACTGCACCACCTGCATCTGTCGGGTACGTCCCAGGAGGGCTGGGGGGTCCCCGGGGTTGGGGGTCCCCAGGGATGCTTCCCCACACCATCCTGCTGGGAGGGAGGGGGCAGAATCCAGCCTTTGCTGGGGGGCTGAGGCAGGATGGCTGGGCACGGGGCTGGGTCAGGCTGTGGGGTCAGTGGGTGACGTGTCCCCTTGTCCCCAGGGTGGCGAGGTGGAGTGCTCCTTTGCCCCCTGCCCCGTCCTGGACTGCCCACAGCACCAGCGGCACCTGGGCCCCGGGCAGTGCTGCTTCACCTGCCGGGACCCCCCGGCCCCCGCCGGTGAGCCTGTGTTGGGGGGCACCTGGGGACAGGGAGGGCAAGGGGAACTGGGGGAGCTGGATGTGGGGGTGCAGAGGGACTGGCAGGGCACTGGGGGGGGCTGCACAGCCACGGGGTTTGGAGGTGTGGAGTGGGTACAGGATGGGGACTGCACACGTGTCCAGCAGCACACGTACGTGCCTGAGCGTGCATCAGGAGGGTGAAGGGCTGGGGGTGCCTGTGTCCCCCCCATGTCCCCCGTCCCCCCCAAGGTTGCTTCGTGGATGACAACGGGGTGGAGTTTCCCATCGGACAGATCTGGTCTCCGGGCGATCCCTGTGAGTTATGCATCTGCCAGGTGAATGAGAACCTGCTCTGCTTCACTCCTCCTACCTGCCCCTGCCCCGGCGCACGGCTCCTGTCCCCCTCCTTCCCTCTGGATGCCAGGCTGCTTGTGGCTGCGGTCCCCAGCAGCTCCCTGGCTTCGTGGGCTTTAAACCCCTGCGGTTTCGGGCAGCCTGAGGTCTCTGTCAAGTGCTTCTCCCCTGCAGGCAGACGGCTCGGTGAGCTGCAAGCGGACGGACTGCGTGGAGACCTGTCCTTACCCCATCCGCATCCCCGGGCAGTGCTGCCCCGACTGCTCGGCAGGTGATGGGGGCTGCGGGTGCTTGTTGGAGGGGTGCTGGCTCCACCGCATCCCCTCTGCGTCCCCTGCTCGTGGTCCTGGGCAGGACCAGACCCAGCAAGCCTGGGCTTAAGCAGAGAGGTCTCCCGGGTGTCCCCGAGCCACCCGGGGATCACAAGTGCCCCTCTTCTCCCCGCAGGCTGCACCTACATGGGAAGGATCTTCTACAACAACGAGACCTTCCCCTCCGTCCTGGATCCCTGTCTCAGCTGCATCTGCCTGGTGAGGGCCGCACCGGGGACCGCGAGATGTTTTCGGCTCCTGCCCCGTGGGCTGAGCCCCAGTTTTTTCCTCCATTGCAGGAAAAAGCTCCGGGGCGTTTGCGGGGCTGCCCCTTTTTTCCCCAGCCCACCCCGGCGGGCGCTAACGCCCGGTCCTCGCGCATCTCTCCCGTCTCTCGCAGCTGGGCTCGGTGGCCTGCTCGCCCGTGGACTGTGCCATCTTCTGCACCTACCCCTTCCACCCCGAGGGCGAGTGTTGCCCCGTCTGTAACGGTAGGAACTGGGAAAGCTGGGGAGGGGGAGAGCAGGGGACCCCGTCCCCCCCCCCCCAGCCCGGCGAGCCCCCCACCATGCGCTGAGCGCTGCCTCGCTCCCCGCAGACTGCAACTACCAGGGTAGGAAGGTGGTGAACGGCCAGACCTTCACCCCCGAGGGACAACCCTGCACCCGCTGTACCTGCCAGGTGAGCGGGATGCTGGTGCCCATGGCAGAGGGGGACCGGAGAGGGAGGGGGGATGGCAGGGATGGCTCACCCCCACCTTCGCCCCCCGCTGCCAGCTGGGGGAGGTGAGCTGCGAGAAGAGGTTGTGCCCCCGCTCCTGCGCAGAGCCCGCCGTGATGCCCGCTGCCTGTTGCCCACCCTGCCAAGGTAACGGGGATGCCCGAGCTCCGGGATGCCGGTGGCGGGGTCTGGCTTTGGGCCCCCCCGCCCCCCGGGGCACCCGCGGGCGGG